GGCCAAAAATTTATTTAAAAGAATAGAAATCAGGTTCTCTCTACTGGCAATGTAAAAAATTGATTTGATTTGATCTTGAGAGCTATGGGCATTTTTGAAACAATATTTTAATATTGTTAATACAAGAAAGTTTTTGTTTATAATTTTGGGGATGGTTTGGATAGTTTGTACTTACTTGGTTTCTTTTCATATTTTCTGTTACAAAATAAAAAATAAAAGATTGTTTAAAACCCAACTTATTTAAACCTGGATAAAAGTGTTTTTTTTTTCTTTTTAAAAACATTTTTAATTAATTGAATTCAAAAAAATGAAAAAATAAGTATACACAACACTGAGAATGCATATTCACAGACATGTATATAACTATCAGTAAATTAAGCCATGATTCATTGCAGTCATCCCTTGTTGAACTATATTAATTCTACAATCTGCAAAATATTGGAGCCATATATTTGTATTTCCAATGATGAATGAGTACAGGGTTTTAGTAGTTGTTGTTTTCTCTTTTAGCCACCAGAGGGATCTCTAATATAAGGAATAGAATAAAATGAAACCAATTCTCTACTTGCTTATTAAGAATTGGTATTATTTTTAATCAAAGCTAATATTAATCATTTTGTTTTTTTCTCACACTATACTACTTGATATTCATATATTACATTATTGGCCTTTACTAAGCTGCTTTTTTTTTTTTTGCACATTTTGGAGATTCAACTCCCAATATAGTGCTTAAATGAAAGCAATTATTGGGAGTGGGACAGAAGAACTGGCAGAAGTCAGTTGGTGGAATTGGTCTTTCTCACTGCACTCCATAAAGTCAGGGAGCAATTAGAATCTACTCAGAAAAAGGTACAACAGCAACATAAAAAAGAAGCAACGGATGGAAACTAATCAAGGAGAGAAGCAACTAGAACTAAGGAGAAACTTCCTGACAGTTAGAACAATTAGCCAGTGGAACAACCTGCCTCCAGAAGCGGTGAATGCTCCAACACTGGAAGTTTTTAAGAAGAGACTGGACAGCCATTTGTCCGAAATGGTATAGGGTTTCCTGCCTGGGCAGGGGTTGGACTAGATGACCTCCAAGGTCCCTCCCAATTTTACTATTGATGATGATGATGATAATGATGATGATGATGTGACTGCTTTTAAAGATCAGCTGTCTGGATAAGATAAGGTTTGGGGAGACAAGTTGGCTGTCCATGTTACACTGACTTTTCCAATCAGAAATATCTAGGGCAGTGGTTCTCAACCTGTGGGTTGGGACCCCATTTGAGGTCGAACGACCATTTCACGGGGGTCGCCAAACAACGCAGTCCGCCATTTTTTTCCCCTTTCCTTAGCTGTGCTACTCCCTTTTATTCTATTGGCTTTTGAAAGCCAATAGAATAGACTCTCTTGAATAGAGTCTAATTCTATTGGCTTTCAAAAGCCAATAGGAATTGTCCAGGCTGTCTCTGCCCTGCTGAGCCTGCCAAAATTCCCATTCTGCAAACGGTGCTGCACCAGTTAAGTAGTCCTCGACTTACGACCGGTTGGGTAGTCCTCGACGTACGACCGGTTGTGGGTCGTGGCATTAAAAAGGTTGAGAACCACTGATCTAGGGGATGGAAGGGACACTCCAATTTCCTAACATTTAGATTGTGCCTGAACATTTTATATAGTATGTAAAAAAAACCTTAATTATTGTACTTTTGGTCTTATGCATTTGAGAGCATTCTAGACGGCAAGTATTATATAATTGCCATTATCGAAACTTGGCAGGATGAAACTCATGAGTGGAATGTACTGATGGAAAGATACAAACTGTTCAAAATAAACAGACCTAACAAAATGTACAAAACCAAGAATGAAAACCTCCAAGAATGCATATGGGTCAATATAAAAGGAAAAAAGAATGATATTGCCATAGGTGTATACTACATGCCACCCAACCAAGCAGAAGAAATAGATCAACTTTTTGCTAACCAATTAACAAATGTATGTAGGGAACATACCACAGTAGTAATGGGGTATTTAACTACCCTAACATCAACTGGGAGACAAACTCTGCATCAAGGGGGGATTGAACAGATTCCTGACCAACCTACCTGACAACTCTGTCATCCAAAAGGTGGAGGAGGGAACTAAAGGGACAGGTATACTGGACCTAATTCTTACTGACAGAGAAATGATAGACTGGGTGAAGTTGCTGGAACTTTGGGGGAGTGTAACCATGTCATATTGAACGTCAATATAATGCAAACCCAAACAATAGAACATAATCTATCTCTCTACATATGCAGTAGAGAGTAATCAGAGCTGCTTAATCTGTCTTCTGTCTTCATGCAAAAAGATAATATTGCCCAAACTACCAAAAGCATAACTGTAAAAGGCTAGGAATACAAATTAATGTAAGCAAGAAAATGATAAGGGAACACCTGTCCGCTCTTGATGACTTCAAATCACCGGGAGCTGATGGATAACATTCCAAAGTATTGAAGGAACTGGCAGATGTGATCTTGGAATCACTAAACCGTATCTTTCAAAGATCCTGGAGCACTGGGTAACTAACAGAGGGCCTGAAAAGAGTTCATGTGGTTCTCATCTTCAAAAAAAAAGGGTGGGGGGAACAGATGCAGGAAACTATATAGACCAATCAGTCTGACATCAACACCTGGAAAGATCCTGTAAAAGATAATCAAGCAACAGATCTGTAAACACCTAGCAGCAAGTAAAGTTATAAGCAGAAGCTAATAAGAGTTTGTTAAAAACAGATCATGCCAAATAAATCTTATTTCATTCTTTTACTAAGTGACTAAAATAGTGGACCAGCAAAAAGCTGTCGACACGCTGTGAATTTCAGTAAGGCATTTAACAATTTATACCACAACCTACTTCTTGGTAAGCTAGAAAAATGGCCTGTCTTGTTAAGCAGCCACTCCACTAAATATGTCAATTGCATAGTAATGACATTGAAATAACTGATTTAGGGAATAAAGTGTTGCTTTCTTTGAGCCCCCTCATCCACTATCGCGTCTATTAAGGGTGATATATATATATATATATACATATATATATAAATGGAATGAATAAAGCGCATTCACCAGGAGAGTTTAAAGTTAAAATACTTTAATTAAAGTATTTTACTATATTAAAAGGTTGCCAAGCTTTCGTTGGGAAAACTCCCCAACATCTTCAGGGCTGAGAGACCGTTTCTAACAAGGTGGTTTAAACGGGTTCCATAGACGTCTGCGCTTGGTTCCTAGACCGTGCCAGCATTCCCCGCTGAACAGCTGATAGGTGGGATAGCTGTTCAGTGGGGAATGCTGGCACGGTCTAGGAACCAAGTGCAGACGTCTATGGAACCCGTTTAAACCACCTTGTTAGAAACGGTCTCTCAGCCCTGAAGATGTTGGGGAGTTTTCCCAACGAAAGCTTGGCAACCTTTTAATATAGTAAAATACTTTAATTAAAGTATTTTAACTTTAAACTCTCCTGGTGAACGCACTTTATTCATTCCATTTATAATTATGCCCGGGAGTCGCATTTTCACCATCATTATTGAATATATATATATATATGTATATTTACTTAATTTGCAACATACGGTGTTTTGATCTTGATTTTCACTCTTCCCATACTCAAATAGAATCTACTGATGGCAGGCCAAGTTTAACAGAATAGCAGAGTTGGAAAGGATCTGATTGCAGGTCATCTAGTCCAACCCCCTGCTCAAGCAGGAGACCCTATACCTTTTTTGACAAGTGGCTGTCCAGTCTCTTCTTGAAAGCCTCCAGTGACAAAGGACCCACAACTTCTGAAGGCAAGCTGTTCCATTGGTTGATTGTTCTCACTATCAGAAAATTTCTCATTTCTAGATTGAATATTTCCTTAATCAGTTTCCATCCATTGTTTCTTGTCTGGCCTTTGGGTGCTTTGGAAAATAGGTTGTCCCCCTCCACTCTGTGACAGCTCCTAAATATTGGAACACTGCTATCATATCACCGCTGGTCCTTCTCTTCACTAGACTAGCCATGCCCAGTTCTTGTAACTGCTTTTTGTATGTTTTAGCTTCCAGGTCCCTAATTAACTTGCTCTTCTCTGCACTCTTTCTAGGCTCTCAACAGCTTTTTCATAGTGTGGGGACCAAAACTTGATGCAATATTCTAGATGTGACCTTATTAAGGCTTTTTAGAGTGGTACTAGTATCTCACTTGACCTTGATTCACTCCCTCTGTTAATACAATTTATGATTGGATTGGCTTTTTTGGCTGCCACCACACACTGCTGGGTCATATTTGGCTCATATCAAAGGCAGGTTTATTTGGAGTTTGATCTTTTTTCTCTGTTGGTTCAACTATGGCATATCTATTTTGGGATATAGCAACTTGAACATTTTTGGACATAGGATTCCCTGCTTCAACATGGTTAGTCAATTGAGAACACAGAACTGTAGGACTGTAGGACTGTAGGACTTGGTGCCTTCTAGTCAAATCCCTTGTTTAAGGCAGGAAATACTATACCATTCCAGACAAATGGCTATCGAATTTCTTCCTAAAAACCTCCAGTGATGGAGCACCCACTTCTGGAGGCAAATCGTTCACTGATTGTTCTCACTGTCAGGAAATACCGCAGCACTGTTGTATTTGCAAAATATGTCCCACGTACGTGCTTATGCCCACGGAGGACCCAAACCTTAGGCTCTAAGAAGAGAAACGATCTGGACGAAAATATCCGGTTCTAATAAATGAGAATATTTGTAGCTCAGGGTTAACATGAGAGAGTCCTTGGTGCTCTCTGGACTTGCTTGTTTCCTTGCAGACGTTTCATTACCCTAGCACTGATTATGTTACCTAGTGTGGGTAATGAAACGTCTGAAAGGAAACAAAGCAAGCAAAGCAAGCTCAGAGAGCACCAAGAACTCCTGAAATAAACGTCTGACGGGCTTCGAATCGAACAAGCAAAAATTCCCCGCGCCATTTTCTGCCTCAAAATAAATGCCTCAGAGCATTCCCGGCACCGGCTCGGCGATGAGAAAGGAGAAGCCCGACACTTCCTTCGCCCTTGCGCTTTGCCTCCAGCTCCCTCATCTCGGGCAGGAGACCCCCCCCACCTCCCAGCGCGCCCCGCCCTGCGTAGCGCAAGGGTGTCTCCCCGCCCTGCTTTGTTTCTTCCTTGCGCTTGCGTGGTGTCTGCCCGCCGAGGCTCCGTGCGGTGCGGTGCGCCTGCTGGCGTTGCTATTGCTGTTGCGCCTTGGCTCGCCCGGAGAAGGTGCGCTTGCCGAAAAACGCCGGGGAAGGGCTCGTCTTCGCCGAAGAAGGGAGGCTCTTGCGTTCATTCCCAGGCGCCTCCGGCTATGGAGGCCGCTTTGGTAAAACCGATGGTCGCGGAGGTGAAGCCGGGTGCCGTGAGCGCCGAGCTGGAGGTGAAGAAGCTGCAGGAGCTGGTGCGCAAGCTGGAGAAGCAAAACGAGCAGCTGCGCAATAGAGCCGCTGCCACCTCGCCTTCTTCAGCGCCTGGACTGAGCCCGAACAGCCCTCTGCAGCCGCGGCTCATAGCCGCTGCCGCCGCCGCACAAGTCCCCCGCAGCAGCTCCCCGCCAGCCGGCAGGTCGAGCCCAGCGCCAGCTCTCGTGTGCCAAGCCGAGCCTTTCGTCTACTTCAAGCCGTCCCCCATCGGGGGACCCCACGAGGCCCTTGCCGCCACTTCCATCCTTCTGACTCCGGCCAGCCTTTTGGATGAGGTGGAAATCCTGGATCTTCGGGGGCTCGATTGCCCTGGCCGGGAAGAAAAGGAAGAAGAGCGTCCGCGCTTCGAGGAAGAGGAAACCTGGTGGGTATCTTTGCCGACCGCGTCGCAAGTTTTCCGCACAAAGGGTTTGTCTCTCTCGCCCTGGCGCTTCCCCCCTCTTTTTCCTTGCTCCTCATCTGACAAAAACCCCTTCCTCTTTCTGTATCCAGCTGGCGCTTTCCAAAGCTCGCTTTTCCACCATTAGCTGCCCAGTCCTCTTGGATTCTGATTTCTTTTCTTTTTTTCTTTTGCTGTTTAGATCTGGCCTCCCTGTCCGAACATCTCCGTTTGTCTCATTGATTTTTTTTTTCAACCATTACTTTCCAAGTCCTCCATTTGCTTCCAACCTGCTTTTTGCCTGTGCGGTTTAAAAACAAAGATTTAGGAAGCCTGGGCTTGTCTTTGTGTTTGATTGGTGGATAAACCCCACACATGAATATGCATATGCATTTAAGGATTGTTTCTGAAAATGGGCATGAGTATAAATTCTTAAAAGAAATTTAGCACGAATCGAGTCACTGGAGTATGTTAGTGTTGCATTCTTCGCTGCATTTCCTTGAGTATAACGTGCAGAATAAACGTGGTGCACTAGTCAAGATTCTAGGTTGAAGCTGATTGAAATAAGACAGTTATAAACACCGTACTGTAATGTAGGGAAGAAATGATAAAATGGGGAAAGCTGGGGATTTCAAATAAGCCAGTCTGGAGCGCGTGGTTTAGCATATATGTTTGAAATGGAAGTAGAGTTGAAAATGAATGGGTAATACTGCCTCCGTGGGAGGAATGAAATCTCATGGCTTGGAAAAATGCATGTGGATTTCAGTACTGTGGTCAGCAACCCTCGTGGTGATATGGCCCTAGAGTAGAATATTTCTGAACAGATACAAAGCTATAAGGGTGCCTGCAAAAATAATAAAAATGGAGGTAGTATTTGAGATATATTGCAGAAAGGGTATAAACCTCAACAGTCAGCAAAGCTGATGGGCTTTTCCTCCATTGTTAGAAAAACTGCAGTCATTTAGGAAAAATCCTTAGTCCTTTCAGAAGGAGTAGAGAAGTTGGGAAGAGAATACTGTTTCATACTTCTTCATTTTCTTACAACCATACCTTCTGACCCTGCCTCCTGCGAAATTCAAAATGCTTCCAAAGAAAAGTACATGTAGATTTGTGTGGAAAGAAGAAGCATCACTCACTCTTTCCCATATCAAATACCATTTATATTTCAGTTCTGTATTCCTCATTTTATCACACAGTCAGCGCATTTTTTTTCGGAATCTCAGCTATTAATTTGACATTATCTGTATACAAAAGGACACACTTCTAACATCACCATAAGCTTTCATTAGGCATTTATCCATAAAGGACATTACATATAATTGTATTACTCTTGCACAGTGTTGAACAATTTGCTAAGAATTCCATTTTGTAAAATATTCTGGAATTTAAGTAACCCATCTGGGGAAATAAAAGGCATCAATATCAATAAATGGAACCACATTGGTTCATCAGAGACATTTTGTATCATTAGCTGCAGTCTCTAAGAAGTTGAGTAATGTTTAAAATAACTCAAGACAGTAGTCCTGAAAATCAATAGAAAAGTCTCCCAGTGCTTGTGAATCTAATTCTAACCATACCATGAAATGAAACTAGCTAATGAGTAAATAGAGAATGTCAACTCCTATATTTAACTTAGCCAAGAAATCAGTGCCATACACTCAATTGATTAAGAGATATCATGCTGAAGACCAGCGGCCTAGATCTTTAAACATTTACCTCTACCACTCAATCTTCCAATATATGAAAAATACCAAAGTACTTTCAGCACATGGTCATACCAGCAATAATTTATGGCTGCTAAGTGCGGAGCATAAGAAAATCTGAAATAGAGAAGCTTTGGGTACACAGTACAATAAGTGGTGGAAGGTAAATACTAAAAATTTCACTCAGATATCAAATCTGAAATGCAGAAATATACTGCAGAACCAATTCTAAGATGCCATCAAAATGGCACAGCAAGAAATTAAGAATAGGCAGGAATCCCAAAGGTGCTTTTTTCAGGAGGCAACTGGACTTTCTTGTATTCCTTTTGAAGATGTTTTGCTTCTCATCCAAGAAGCTTCTTCAGCTCTGACTAGATCAGGGGTCTTCAGACTTGGCCCTATTATGACTTGTGGACTTCAACTCCCAGAATTCCTCAGCCAGCGTACCTGGCTGAGGAATTCTGGGAGTTGAAGTCCACAAGTCATTAAAGGGCCAAGTTTGAAGACCCCTGGACTAGATGGTGGGGAGTGGAAGGATTTATATTGCTTGCAGACAGCTGGTCATTTGCATTCCTTTAGAGCAGACATGTCAAACTCATGATGTCATGTGACGTCACGCAACGTATCGGGACTGTTTTGCCATTGCTGGCAATGGGGGGCGTGGCTTCCGTGTGAAGCGTCCAGCCCACAGGCCGACAGTTTGACACCCTTGCTTTACAGGATCGTTGAAACCATTTGGAGGTTCACCTGTCTCCTCAGGGTCACCTAAGTGGTGCAAATGTGTGTGGAGCCTCCTTGGCTGCAGAATGTTTTCTACCCTGTGTCCCTTCATTGTTGAAGACAGACACAGGCTGTTGGGGATGAGTCTGTGCTCTCTGTATCTCAAACTGAAGGACAAATGGTTCCTGTGGTCTGCAATATTTTCTGGAAATCCATTCATACTCTCTCACCATACTCTTCAAGACTGTCTAAAGCAGGGATAGGCAACCTTGGCTCTTTTATGACTCGTGGACTTCAACTCCCAGAATTCCTGAGCCAGCCATGCTGAGGGGAAGGGGAGAGGTTTCCAAGCTGAGCTATGCTGGCTCAGGAATTCTGGGAGTTGAAGTCCACAAGTCATAAAAGAACCAAGGTTGCCTACCCCTGGTCTAAAGGAATGCAAATGACCATCTGCCTGCAAGCCATATAAATCTTTCCACTCCCCACCATCTAGTCAGAGCTGAAGAAGCTTCTTGGATGAGAAGCAAAATGTCTTCAGAAAAAAACACAAGAAAGTCCAATTGCCTCCTGAAAAAAACACTTTTGGGACAACCATACCTGGATGACTGAGAATCCCCATAGACCAGTGGTTCTCAACCTGTGGGTTGGGACCCCATTTGGGGTCGAACGACCATTTCACGGGGGTCGCCAAACCATGCTGTCCGCCATTTTTTTCCCTTTTCCCTAGCTGTCCTACTCCCTCTTATTGGTGGCCACACCCACTTGGGGGTCACCACAACATGGGGAACTGTATTATGGGGTCACAGCATTAGAAAGGTTGAGAACCACTGCCATAGACAATAGGCAGGAATGTTTTAAATATGTAAAGTAGTGGGTGGCTTTGGTATGGTAGTCCTTTTAGGTGCTTGCAGGATTTACCACCGCTGAGTTGGAGAGATGAAATAAAGAAAAAACTTGGACCCAGATAGAATATTATAGCATTGGACTGTATACAACACAAACACCTGTTGATCCTATCATTTCTAGCAGTGAACCTATCTAAATGAATGGACTAAAGTACTTAAGAAATTATTTTACTTTTTGCCTTTTCTAATATATTCTTTTTTCCCCTTGATCTCCCCCTTGTCGCTCCCATTCTCCTCACTCGTGTTTCCTTCACTAATCACCTTAAGCTTTTATCTTAAACAGTCAAATTAATAATTCTTTTAGATTTTATTCCTTTGTTGTGTTTCTGTATGGTTAGATACATGCCTAAGATACATATTCAATTTAGACTTTGTCACTCATAGTGGTTTGGGTAAGAATTTTAACATACAATATTTAATAAATAGTAGATTAGGTTATTGTCAGCCTTTTGAGGTTGTCCAGATCAGAAAACAGACACCACAAAAAGACTACAACTCTACTGAGATAGGCAACTGTAATATCAACATGCAAGCCTGACTGCATTTTCTCTTCCTTTCCTCTTATATTCCAGGGAATCAGAATGAGACTTCCTAATACTTTTTCTGTTTCCTGGAATCAAAGCAAGTTTTGGCACCTGTCACAATGGGTTCTGCGTAATTGAGTCCCAGGGAGCATGTCATCAGTTGGGAGCCCCTTCAGACTCACAAGAAATCTAAATCCACCCCTCCTTCAATTCCATTGACCTCTTATCTATCACCAATTAACCCTGACCATTAGTAGTTCAGATTCTTTTAAAGAGATAAAACGGAATAAACTTGCACTAGTCTAAACAACCCTGGTTCCTGATTTATTGCGCTGACAACCTCCATTTGATTCCCTTTACAATCCTGGTGACTCACTTTACGATCATTGTAAAAATGGTTGTAAAATCAAGTGCAGTCATGTGGTGCCTTGACTTATAACCACAATGGCTTGTGATTAAAATTCTGGAGCCCAGAATTTTAGTCATAAGCCATTGTGGTTGTAAGTCAAGGCACCACATGGCTGGTGCCACGATTGTTAAGTTGAGGATTTACCCATATGGTATTTAAGTTCAGTTCGAGGCTTGCTTGGAACTTAACTATTGGCTCCTATTATTTCACTTGATGGACATACGCTGTTATCTCCATTCTTGGAAGAATAAATAGTTACATGAACTTGATTTACAAAAGGCTAAAACTAATGTTGTTTAAAATATGCTTCAAGCATTGTATAGTTTTAGGACTTGTAATTCATCTTCAAACACCAAAGGTAGAAAATTACAGCTAGCATCATTACAAAGAATAAAAGTTTTTCTCTGCTTTTATTTAGGTTATATGCTGCACCTGCTAAGGGTATCATGCAGCAAGAAAAGTCACTGACTCCTCTGCAATGGTGTCGACATGTTCTTGATAATCCAAGCCCTGAGATGGAAGCTGCAAAGCGTTCTTTGTGCTTCAGGCTGGAACAAGGTAATTCCAAGTTTCTACTCTTAAGATTTATTTTGTTTTTTTTCAACTAAACCTTTTCTTATTGATTTTATTAATTAGAGCAGGGCTTTTCAACCTTTTCACCGATTGTACCACTTTTAGGATATGGCAATATTCGAGTACCACCTAGCAAGGTGTCAAAAACGTGATGACCAAAAATAACTGTTCAAAACACTGAAATGACCTATGAGTATTTTTCACACTTATAACCATTGCAGCATGCCCAGGATCATGTGATTTATACTTGGATGCTTGGCAACTGATTCATATTTATGATGGTCACAGTGTCCCAGGATCATGTGATCCCCTTTTGCAACCTTTTGACAAGTAAAGTCAATGGCAGAGCTGCTGGTGGCCAAGTGCTAAGGCGGGACCTCCTTCCCTCCCTCCCCCCTTCCCTGCCTCCCTCTTTCTCATTCCCATCTCCTTCTGAAGGAAGAATTTGAACCCCTCACTCATGTTTTCCCTCTTCCATATATTCATCAAACAAGGAAAAGAGACAGAAAAGACAAGCTACTGAGGAAACTAGCTTTAAAAGGTGCATTCCCCTTTAAGAATTAGCTACTAGCTAGAAAGGAAAGTTAAGGAGCCAGCAGCCAGCACTTAAGAAAAAAAAATGTAGTAAGTACTGGCTGCTGGCTAAGGCAGCCTCCCCAAATGGCTCCATTCATAAGTAAAGGAATGCTATAGGCAAAATCCATTCAGGAGAAAATACTGCAAAATCCCTTGCAACAAAACTTATAGTTAACAATAGCAGAGCAATAGAAGCTAACACAAGACATCAGCCATTAGCCAAATAGAAATTGCCAAACACTCCTTAAGAACACAACGCCCACGTTGCACAAATCCCAGAATTTCAAAGTCACAAAAGCACATAAGAATCCTTCCACTCTCCATCTCCCTCCCTCTCTCCATGCCTCACCTCCAGCCGATGCTGCCTTTCTTCATTGCTGCCTTTCTTCATTCCTGGTGGAGGGCGACCCCTCCCCTGCTGCGTTTCTTGCCTCTTTGTTTTTGCCAACACAGGTGGCTGCCACAGAAGTTGTAGATCAGTTCATGACCAGCCTGCTCCTCTCCTCTCCCCCCACCCTCCTCCTCCTTCTTTCCCTTCAGTGCAGCTAGAGCTGACTCCGCCTCCTCCCAAGGCTGCCTCTTTTTCTCTCTCTCCCTCTCCCACCCAAACTGCCTTTTATAGCCTCTCCTGTCTCTGTCCCCTTCCTCCTTATTCCTCTTCCGGGGCCTTTGCCTCACTCCAGCCACTCTGCAGCTCCAGAGGACTCTCTCACAGTAAGTCCTGCGCTGTGCTGGCTCGTTCCCTCCCCCACTACACTTGGTTGGGCAGGGTCGCATACCACCTGCCATGTGCTAATGTACCACAGGTGATACGTGTACCACCAGTTGAAAAGCCCTGTATTAGAGATCAGTACCAGTATAAGATCAGCCATTTGAATGTTGTTCTATATGGAGCAGGCTAGGAATTTGTGTGACTCTGGAATTTTTCTGTTTTTCTGTCCCATGATTTTAGACACATATCTAAGCTCTTTGTGATGTTTTTGATATCCTTTATCTTTTAGAAAGACAGCTAAAATCCGATGCATGTTTATAAAGAGTTGTTTTCATTTGAATAATCACTGTCATTTTTAAAATTCCCACTTAGCGTGTACATGAATGTGTGTGTTGATTTGTCAGAAAATACCTTCAAATAAATAGAACCAGATAGAAGGTTGGTTCAGAATGATTATTTGTGAATGAGTGCAATATTGACAGTATGGTGAAATAATGATTGTGGCAAAGGCCAAGGAACCAATTAGTAGAGTGGTTCCTTGAAACCCCTATGAATAAGGAGAGAATGAGAGATCACCTACATGCACTTTGGACAATTATTCCTTGCCAAGAGACAAAGGCAGCAGTTTTTATAAATTTGAGCAACAGAAGAGAAATAAATTAGCCATCTTGCTCACACCCATAGTATAGCCTTTTAAAGGACACTAAGTTAAGAAATCTTACTTTCTAAATACTTTCAGAAATTATCTTTTAACTATCTTAAAACTATTAGAGATCTTCAGAATAACATGTTCGAAAAGTGTTCATTGGGTGAGTGTACCTTCAACTTTGAACAAAAAAAAGCTAATTATAAGTATAGAAATTCAAAGCATCTAAAATGAACAGCAAAATATCATTTTGATTTTAGAAAGTTATAAGTAGGCTAAAAATCCAGGTACATTTGGAATACTGAAACTTTTACAATAAATATTTGGACTTAATTAAAAAGAACAAACAGCTTCTTGTGGGGAATAGATCTGTTCTGGTTTTTGGGAAGACATAACAGAGATAAGTAATTGCATGATTTAAAAACTGGACACTAGAGGAGATTCAAGATTTTAGATACAGGAAAATATGAATGCCTATAAAATACAAAATGTTACAACAATAAAAATACTGAAGGAGACTTGAAGAATAAAGTGAGAGATTAGTAGCTACAATATCAATAATGCCAGAATTGGTATCTGGTTCTATAGAGAACTAACTGGCCAAGAGAATTACTTGGAAAAGGATGTTTCTCTGGATCTACAAAATAAATTGGTTGATGTTTTAAAACTCAAATAGAAAATGCAAAGGATAAACCAAGAGAGAAACCTGGACAATCTGATCTGGTAGGGTTGATGTGTTCCACATTCCTTTGATTAAACAATGCAACAATGCCATCTATCAGGAATCCGAAAATGTGCCTTCCCTGTAATTGCACTTCCCCTCTGGAATGAGGTTCCACTTGAGATCCGAAGAGACCCCGTCCTTCTGGTGTTTCAAAGAACTCTTTGGTGAAGACGATTGACAACCCCCTTCTTTTTTTTCTTTTCATACTCATCTGGGTTAGATGTTTTTGCCAAAGTTCGTCCCCTTTTTTTGTTTGTTTTACAATCGTGCTTTAAAAATTGTGAACCCTTTTGAACTGTTGCTTAATAAAAGATTTATACAAGCAAAGTTTATCCCTCTTTTTAAAAGCTGTAAAGTAAGACACTTGCGTATGTCTTAATTTATATTGAAGGTCTAATTGTATGTTACGAAGATGAAAAGGCATCAAGAAATCAATATTCACAAAGAGATAAAGGGTAAAACAATGAGAGTGTTTCTAAGAAGGAAGGAAATGAAAAAATTTTTTCTCAACCTGAAGCAGAAAATAATGGCTTTAACAGAGGGCCTTGGATGCAGAGTTAGCCAAAAGTCAACTTGGTAGCTATAACTGCACAAAGCCCTGCACAAATATATATTTTAAAAAGGCCAGCATTCAATAGTTTGGTTGCATCTACCATCTTGCAAAACCTGCAGATATTCTGATTTTGACTGGCAACTCGTTGAAGTAGAGATGCCAACAAAGGAAAGATTTAAAGAAAAAGAAACCAATACATTTCTACAAGATAACCCCCAAGACAGGATAGGAAATCTGTCAGTCTCTAGACTGGACATTGCATCAGCAGGAGGGAGACTCTGTAGAAAGATGAATGCACCAACCAAGAAAACTGAGTGAAAAGCTATCTAAAGGGAACTGCTTATCTAAAGTTAGACAGACTGGTGAGCTATGTGAAAGCAACTTGAGCTGAAGGTAAGGAAGACAGAAAATTAATGAGTGGAAACGTACTCAAGTTAGATTCTACCTTTGCCCCCAGACAGAGCATCCCAAACAGATTCAAGTACTATTGTGTGTAAAATGTGAGCAAAGCCTTCAAACTGATGTAGCAACTTTTAGGAAAGGGACTGTTGAAATTTAGTTTTGCATAGACTGGCTTACTGCACCTATATACTGATCAACTGGGGATGTAGAGAACCAGTTTGGTCTAGTGCAGTGATGGCGAACCTTTTAGAGACCGTGCCCAAAAACTGGCCCTATCCCTGCCCCGCCCCTGCCCCACCCCCGCTCTGCCTCACCCTGCCTGCCCGCAGGGCCACTCACTGCCTCCAGGGCCTGCCGCAGATCACCCAGGCAGCCCAGCAGTGCCGTAGCAGCCACACCCTCTACCCACGCCCCGCAGCATCAACTGTGCATGTTGGGGCATGAGGGCAGAATCTTGTCTACGCTGCCTGGATGCTGTAGCACTGCTGGGCTGCCTGGGCTGCCTATGGCTGTGCTGCTCCGCATGGGCCACGCTCGGGGGCAACTTTCCTGCCGGTGAGGAGAGGGTCGCAGGCAGAGGCAAGGCTTGGGCGACGGCATGTGTGCCCACAGAAAGGGCTCCGAATGCCGCCTCTGGCACTTGTGCCATAGGTTCACCATCACTGGTCTAGTGGTTAAGGCACCAGGTTAGAAAGCAGGAGGTTGTGAATTTTAGTTCTGCCTTAGCCATGAAAGCCAGCTGGGTGACCTTGGGTCCGTCCTTCTCTGTCAGCCCAACTCACCTCACAAGTGGTTATTGAGGGGAAAATGGGAGGGGAAGGAATATTAGATATATTTGCCACCTTGAGTTGTTTATAAAAATAATAGAGGTGGGATAAAAACAATAAACAAAGAAATAAAGTAACAGTCAGTGGAGGAACACTGCACCTTTATCACTTTTCCTAAAACACATTTCATACCTCATACTTTCACCACTTCCTTCCTCTGTTCTATTCTGAAATTACTTTTATAAGAAGAGAAGTCTTTTTCTTTCCCTGTGCCTCTTGAAAGCACTCCTGCTAAAACTGACTGGAATACGTTTCACACTTTCCCTAAGAACAGTGGAAAGTTCTAGAACATGCTTTGTCCATCCTCTTCCAAATTTCTTTTTTTTTTTTTTTTTTTACAAATGCTGTGTTTTTATTACAGAGGTTCTTAGAATCTCAGCTGCAATAAAAGTAGCTTTGTTCACTGTGGGTCTTCTCAAAGGCATAATTGTGGCAAAATAATGAATGATGTTTACACATGGGCTGCACGTGCATAACAAGGAGATGGCCTTGGATCAGGTTGTTATGACACTGCATCTGACATCAATCCAAAGGCACAAAAGACCTTTTTCATTTTAAAGGCATTTATATTTTATGACTTTTAATGAAAAGGACAAAAGATTGAAATCGATCTTAAAAACGGCTTTTACTTTTCTTGGGTTTTCTTTTAATAAGATTAAGATGACATGTTAAAGTGTTTCTCATATATGTGCATGCATAATTTAAGTAAATCATTATTATCATTAAGTCCATCATTAGCTGTATACCAAATTAGCATTTAGCAATGATTATAATTGAAAAATGTCTGCTCTGGAGTGTGTACGTTTATATTAAAAATGGGTATTTATGTTACTTGAAATTTCACTTTGGTTAAAAAAAAGAAATATTTACATCTATTGGCTTAAAAGCTTAAAAAGGGGATGCAATTTGTATTGGCTACTTGATGAGTGAATCTGTGGTTTATCACAAAATTTCACTCATTCAAGTTTATCATCAATAGTTAATCCCAATAATATTGTGTTTCAAAAACTTTCCTCTATGATAATTAAAAGCTCATTAATACATTTCTTTTAAGCATTTTTAAAACACGACTTTGTTATTCTCAATACTAGTACATTGATCTTAGTCTTTAAAAAACTATAGCTTCTAAAGTTCTTGTTCCAGTATATATATATATTCATTTTGTCCTTAATCAGAATATTCTCATATCCTTTATTTTTCTGATAAATTTCAATTTAAATAATTTGTATAGGTAAATATTTGTACCAAGGGGTGTTCTAATGTTCAACACTAGGTTGTATTGTATAGGAGATTTTAAAAAATTAAGAAAAGAAAAACGCTTTTTAGTTATTCCATTTTGATCCTTTTCCTTCAAAATGTGGTTCTTTTTTATTTATCTTACACAGGGTTTTTCCCCTCTAACCTATAGAAAATTATTGACATTCTATCAGTTCAGTTATCAGTCCATAACTCCCATGCAAATGGCATCTCGTTTTGATACAAGATAGGCAGCCAATAAATTTAATAAATCTCTCATACATCAGTTGGTTTGGGAATAAAATGCACTGTTCCCAGTGAGACTTATCTCGCTAGAAGTACATACAGCAATACTGTTTGATCTTTCTTGTGATATTGACTTCCTAATACATATGCATTCTGTTGCTAAATACAAACTATATTTTCTTTTCTGTGCCCACTAACAGCTAGTAGATGGCGGAGTCTCTTCTCTTCATCCTTGGCTTTTCCTTATAGTCCTGTTGCAAGGTTTACTCCATATAGCAATAGCTTTAACAGTCCTGCGTTCCCTAAAACCTTCAGCAAAGCAATATTAACACCTGAACAAACAGGTAATGCCTACTTTCTTACTAACATAACAGTTTAATATTATCATAGCCCAGGCCCTGTAGGTTTACAGAGAGTGTTTTTAAAGACTAATGATGATTCAATCTGGAGTAGAAATCAGGAGATTCTAGTCCTCCCTTAGGCGCGGAAGCCAGCTGGGTGAACTTGGGTCCAGTCATTCCCTCTCAGCCTTAGTCAGCATCAGGTTCTGCCACAAATTAATATATAAAGAAAAGCCATTGTGGATTGCTAGATTTGCTGTAAAAGCTAAGTAAGTGCAATGCAAAAAATAATAATAATAACTGATCCTGCAACCATGTGAGACAAATGCTAAGAAAAACAATATTAAGTCATCTGTTCCTTGTTGAGGAAATGCAGGTGATGTCAGCACCTGATAAAAATTCAGATGTCTGGTAACTGACTCACATTTATGACCGTTGCTGTGTCCCAGGGTCCCTTTGGCAACTTTCTGACAAGCAAAATCAATAGGGAAACCAGATTCACTTAACAACCAGGTTTCTAACTTATCAACTGCTGTGATTCAATTAACAACTGTGGCAAGAAAGATCGTAAAATGGGGCAAAACTCACTTAACAAATGTCTCACTTAATAACAGAAATTTTGGGCTCAACTGTGGTTGTAAGTTGAAGACTACTTGTACTGGGCCCTTGTGCCTCGTATTGATCCTTAGGTCTGATTTGTCAAGCTGGAGTTGGGGTCTGGACAGGGAGTAGAAAGGACCAGTTTACCCTATCCAGATTCTTGCAGCATAGCGCTGCAAAATTTAGTACTTATTTAAATGCACAGACTGGAAGCAGAAAAAGAGCTGTCGTCTTCTCTAATGCCATGTACCATATATGCCTTTTCTGTGAAGTCCATATATCCCAAATAAATTCTGAGAAAGCAACTTGTTTTACATAACTATATGTGTAGAACCTCAAAATTCTATATAGAATATGGGAAGTAGAGGATTAGCTACCCTCATCATTAACCTTCACAAGAGTCACGGCTCATTAACAAATGGGAAGAGGAGAATTAGCTCCCTTAATCTCCTGCTGTAAGATAGTGGTCTATTAAATGCAACTTGGTCCTCTGGGTTTGAGACATCCTTCCTGAAGTACAGCAAAAGACTCAATATGGTAATCTGTAAGAATTTCCCCTTCATTATTTTATTTGCGATGGTATGTTTTCAAAAGAAGATTCTTCCACTTTCTTCTTTCCCCTGCTCTTTTCCATATCATTTGAAGGGTCCTCTGAGAATTTTACTTGCAAATGCAACTGTTATTTGTGCATTTCACTGAATAATGAGACATGGTGCCTCCCTACTCTCATGCCCTACAATTATGTGTGATTGTCATTGTTACAATCTTCAGCCAGCCTGTTGAAAAGCCTCTCCATTTACAGTTGCAGTGTATAAGCTAGAGAATGCATGCTTCCTTGAAATCCAGTATACAGTATTTGAGAACTGCCAGTTTGGGGAAATTTGAAGTATGATCCCCCAGTAACATTTTGGATAGATTGCTAAAATCTTATCAGATATGAACATAGGTTAGGACATCCTATGGAAGCAATACAGGTAGTTCTTGACAGTTCATTTATAGTTATTTTCTGTATTCTTCTGAACTTGCAAACAAATTCACCTGCTTTAAGAATTTTCATGAATCAATTCAAAGCAGCAGCATCTTTTTTCAGGTTTGTTCAAGAGGATCTATTTCAGCGGTTCTCAACCTGTGGGTCGCGACCCCATTTGGGGTCGAACGACCATTTCACGGGGGTCGCCAAACAATGCGATCCGCCATTTTTTGTCAGCTGGCGGCACCACGCATGCGCGCCGCGCCATGCATGCGCGCCGTGCATGGGGACACCGCTGCGCATGCATGCCGTGCATAGGGACACCGCTGCGCATGCGCGCCACACATGGCACCGCCACACATGCGCGCCGCGTCCTTATGACCGGGGTCGCCACAAAAAAAAGGTTGAGAACCACTTATCTATTTAATGAATTACATAAAATAGTGGTGCTCAGATGTGGTACAAGCACATTCCTAATCATCTGCAAAGTAAGCACATCCTTAGATGGCAGGGTGTGTGTTTTTGTACACTTTCATTGAGTCTTTCTTCTAAATAGATATTTATGATATTGGGATGATGTGGACATAATGTATATAGCAGTATATAACTGTATATATACTGTATATTCTTAGTTTATTAATTTATGAATTAGTGCTGTTATCTTTATGAAATGTTTATGGATTTAATATTTTTCAATAGATTGCATTTCTAGAAGCTCTCCTCTTAGTCCCCAGTCATCTCTGGACAGTGAATTGAGCACTCCAGAATTAGAAGATGATTCCATTTCCATGGGATACAAACTACAAGACCTCACAGATGTCCAGATCATGGCTCGGCTACAAGAAGAAAGTAGGTTGAAATTTTTATTTTCCTTCTTCTAAATACGTTTTTTGAGGGGTTGTTTGTTTTGTTTTGTTTTGCTTTCTGATTAGGGAAAAAAGGCTTGATCTTTGCAAAAGAATATGATTTTGCAGAATGAGTTTAAAAAATTATCTAATTAAAATTTGAGAATGTATTACAGTACTTTGATTTTTAAGGGAAAATGGTATTTGCATACTACTTCTCTAACTCCTTAAAACAGCTGCATATTTTCACAAAATTGTATTGCTTATCTTATGACTGGTGTGTTCTCTGGAAAATAGGTGTGAACTTCAAGGAGTTGGATACTGGTTGTCATGGTTCTGACATAGAGACATATAAAGTAGAACTCCGAGGCTTGGAAAGTCCTCAAAGAACATGTTTATTAGTTACAAAGTATCGACATGATCAAAAGTGAAACCAAGTCTGAAATTCCCACTAAAAAATTCCCAGTTACAAAATATAATATCCCACCCACAAATCTATGCCATCACTATGTTCCCCAATATATTCATTTGGCAGGCTTTCTTATACAAGACCCAGTCCCTGATCACAGGAGCAGTAGATGACCTTGGTTCCCATGGGACAGAAGATTATTTTGACTAGTGAAGCATCTGGGCAAGCCCCTCTCCCTCTGTTCTATATGGCAACCTAGAATGAATAGAAATATGGCTGCAGCCAAGTTCATTGTAGAGTTAACACTGGTACTGTATATACAGTCATAAATTTCCCATTTGCCTTTGCATATGAAGTACTTCACAGTCTTAAAAATGATATCTATTGTAAGAGACTGGGATTCTGGGAAAGAAATGGAAGAGAGAGTGAATATAAATAATCAAGATTTGGCAGGAAAATCGGTTCATAGCTTATCTCATTAAATGACAACTCGAGTGGAAAGAAACCTAGAAAGAAGTGGGTCAGCTGCCACCTCAATTTGCTTGTGCTTTGATACCAAGCCATGGTCTCTGGGGAGGGTGGGTGGGAGCCAAATGGGACAACTCACCATGGCCAACTTATTGCAAGCCAACCTGCCATGGCCAACTCTCCACAGCCAATTCACCATGGCCCACTCGCCATGAGACAACTCACCATGGCCAGCTTGCCGCGGGACAATTCACCATGAGATAATTTAACGATTCAATTTAATTATTTAAAATAAATAAAAATTATTTTAATTTTTGTCATTCACATTTTGTTTTATCTCTCCTTTTTGTATTTTCTTTAATGAGTCTATTCCACCAGTTCTTTGGTATTAGTATATCTCTTGCCATCCAACATGTTGTCCCACGGCAAGTTGGCCATGGCAGATTCTTCTGTGACAAGTTGGCCATGGCAAGTTGACAGTGGTGAGTTGGTTGTGATGAGTTGGCCATGACAAATTGTTCCGTGGTAAGTTGGCTGTGGCAAATTGTCATAGACCTGGATGGGAGGGGGGGATGCTTGGGGGGAAAGCAAAAGTAACTGCTGCTTGTGGAAAATGAGAGTAATTGCTGTATCTTCCCAGAATTCTATTTCAAGTTCACCCACCTGGGAGAAGAACACAGCTGCATATCAACCTACGCTTGAAATGACTGTTCTGAAAACATCTTGCTTGAACCTGATTGGTCATAGGGGGTCAGCGATCGGAGGCAGTTAATGGAGGGAAAAGTTGAACTTAGGGATTTTGGCGGACGATTCTGTTCTGGCTATGCACTACTGCAATGCACTTGATTTCTAATAAAACTAGTATCTTTCTCAACAAACAGAGCCAAGGATAATTTCTATTTAGAGGTTTATGTTTATGGCAGGTCTGATAAAGTGTTTCAAAGACAGATTGTCTTAATGAACTCAGTATAAATAAGGGTGGGAAATTTCCTCTTATGGTTTCCAGGAGAATGTATTTACCCAGACTCATATTAAAGAAACCTTACTGAAAACTGTGTAATTCTTGCTTCTTTGATCTTAGTTTGTCTGGCAAGATTAAAATAATAATGCAATTATATTTATATTATTAGTAGAAGTAAGATTTTTACCATTTTGTATTTTGGATCTTGTTTTCCTTTACAGGCCTGAGGCAAGACTATGCTTCAACTTCAACATCAGTGTCAAGAAACAGTTCCAGTGTATCTCTTCCTTTGATCAAAAAAGGGACCAGTGGTGATCAGGAATTTGATCGTTATAGCCTTGAAGACGAGGAAGAATTTGACCACTTGCCCCCTCCACAGCCTCGGCTCACACGTTGCTCTCCTTTCCAAAAAGGAATTCCCCATTCCCAAACTTTCTCCAATATACGGGACTGTAGGAGGAGCCCAATTTCCCCATATTTTCCCTACAGTAATAACAGTCAACAGCAGCCATTTTGTTCTCCTCAACCCCCAAATCTTCTGGAGTCTCAATCAACCAAAATTAATGGAGGTAAAAGTGGCCGCCTTGTGTAACCTGAGTTTTTCATGACATCAGTTTACATCTGATCTTGAACAGACTATCGTACTAGTGGGCTGTTGTTTTTTTGAAACATATCTTAAAATAATTCATAAAGGCTTAATATTCTGGAAGTAGTTTCCTTCTTTCGATATATATATAAAACCCATTCTTCACATTTCTTTTTTTATTTTTCCACACAAGCTCACATTTTCTTTTCCATAAGAAGAGGATTCCTGTGTTTAGCTGTATGGATTTCGCTGTTTCAAATGGAGCTTTTGCAACCCTAGCACTCCCAACCATTACAGTCATCCTAACAGGGATGGGAGTCATAATCTAATATAGTTGGAAGGTATTAAGTAAGGAAGGTTAATTTAAATGACGGATCAAAATCCATGCATCTCAGTAAACTGCTTTTCTTGTTGGGGTGACCCTGAGTAATAGATGCTGCTGGCTCATTGATTTTTTTTTTGTTTTGCATTAAAAATCTTAATTATAGTGAATCTGTCATCATTTTTTATTTTGGGGGAAAGATAACATTCTTTTAATATATACCGGGGAATGCTGCAGAAGAAGTGGGCCAGCTCTGCGAGGCAGGTGTCAAGTCATGGGAGGCCTGGCTGCAACAGTAAGTGGGTACAGGGTGCATGGGGCAGCTCCATCCCTCCACCCCTGCTCTAGCTTGATTTTTAGGTGTGCGCCTCACCCCAAAACTAGGGTTTATTTTTGGGGTAGGGTTTATATTAGGCCCACCCCCCAAAATCAAGCTAGGGCTTATTTTCAGGATAGATCTTAGTTTCGGGAAAACATGGTATATTACAGTTTTCGAATACACTTGGCAAATATTATGTCAGAAGTTCTGACAATAGGCATGTAAATTATAGCTAGCTATAATTTGAACTATTTTATTTTACGTTCTGAGAGGTTATTGCTTATTTATACGTAGGATATATATCATTTTGTCTTCCATCAGGTCCATACAACTTGAAACCTGCTAAATCTGTTCACCTCATATTGTGACTGTTTTTGGACTGCAGCAGAGCTAAAGTCCTTTAAGTTGATAGGGCAAAAAGCATGACTCTTGAATACATCTGACTTGGTTGGTTAGCACAAATTTAATTTTCAAAGTTGGGATGGTACAAAAATTGAGGTAGAGTGTAATACATAACCTTTTCTACCATTCTTCCAATGAAGCAAGTTAGGAACAGAAGGGAGAGGAAACATGAAGTAAGGAACGTTGAGGATGGTTGGGACTGAATTGAACTAGCTTCAACTGGCGAAGATTTTCTGAACTGAAAACTTTCAGAGCCACATGGTATAAATCTCTCCTGTTTCTTTTTTGGAATATTACAATCACTATTATTCCCATCCCAGAAATGGGATTCTAGTATGAAAAGAATATTGTTGGAGTTTTCTAAAGTAATGTTATTGCCATAGGAATTGGCATGGCACAATCAAAGGAGATAAGATTTTGCCATTATTAGCTTGCTTGACCAGATGCGTCCTTCTATAAATCCCACATCCATTGGTCCTTTTGACTTGATCCAAAAGAACTTTCTCTTTGAAATTCATGTTTGATGTCTTACTTTTGCTGCAGACAAACTCCGAAGAAGCATGCCTAATTTAGCTCGAATGCCAAGTACCCTTACTGTCAATACAAACAGCAGCCCTGCCAGTTCTGTGAGGAACAGCCTAAGTTTTGATTCTAACTTGCATGGAGCCAGTAACGGGGTATCCAGAATGCAGTCTTGCAGTAAGTATGTGAATGTTCTTTTTATTTATTGAAAGCTGTTTGATTGCCATTCTTTCCTAATCTTGGATCTTTTAATCCAATAGTTGTACAGCTCCTGTGGCATATCATTAGGGCTGATAGGAAGAACCAAGGCCCCAGATTTTAGAGGAAAAAAACTACTTTAGAATATTTTATGTTGTTCTTGCTTCAGGTAGTTTTTTTCTTTTCAGGATCATTTTAAGTTTATATATGTTGCTTTCAAAAAAATTGCAGGTAATATGACTTTTTTTCCCCCTCCCTCCCTTCCTGAGGAACTCTTTCCTCAGAGCAGTTGATTCATTATCAGGAACAAAGGGTAGCGTTTGTCTCCCAGGGTGTCAGGGTGACCGAAGTCCTCCTACAGTGTTATATTTCTTGCACATCTTATTTAGTTGATTAGCAAAATGTTCTGTTTTTTCTGCTTGGTTGGGTGGTCTATAGCAATATCATTTCTTTTTCCTCTTATATTCACCCAAATGCATTCAAGAGGGCTTTCATCCTTGGTATCATGTATTTCTATAGAGGTGGAGTGATTGCTTACATACAATGTGTGTAAGTACCTCTTCTTTTGTTGGGTGAACAATTTATATCCTTCTGGTAGCATGTTCCAATTATAGATTCCAACCCACCAAATTTCTGTAATGACAACAATATCATGTATACCTGTCCTCATGCCCTCAGGTTCTCCTGTTTGTTCCCCAAAACTCTGAGCATTAACATGTAGGCATCTGAGCTGTTTACCACTGACCCTGTACTTGCTTCTTACCTCTTCTGTTTTATACCTGAATTCTCCTTCCTTCTCGCCACTTCCTTTCTCATCGTCTAATTTGTTTTCTTGGGGTTTGGTCTTAAAGATTAGCCACCCTTTCTTTCCCTTTTTAGTTTAAAACCCTTCAGATGAGCCTGGGTAGTTATTTTCCAGTCTTTGTGAGGTGCAGCCCATCTCTTGCAAGAAGCTCTTCTTGCAGGTAATATAAACCATAATCTAGAAATGCAAAGTTCTGTTAATGGCGCCATCCCTTGAGACAGAATCCTTGGCTCCCTTGTTTGGTATTGATCTATGGTTGGCAGTATGGAAGAGAAGACTATCTGTATCCTGTATTGTTTCCTGTTTAGTTGCTCATAGTTGTGAACTGTGATGGTGCAGTGGTTAAAATGCAGTATCACAGGCTAATTCTGCAGTTCAAGTCTCACCGGCTCAAGGTTGACTCAGCCTACCATTCTTCCGAGGTCGGTAAAATGAGGATCCAGTTTGTCGGGGGTAATTTGCTGACTCTGTAAACCCCTTAGAGAGGGCTATAAAGAACTGTGAAGCAATATATAAGTCTAAGCATTATTACTATTGCTATAGTTCCAAGATATTATTTCCAGGCATTTGATTGTATCATTCATCCCAACATGAAAGAGGAGAAAGGGATAATAATTGGTGGGCTTGATTATTTTGTAAACCTCTCTGATACATCTTTGATCTTAGCCCCAGGGATCCAACTTACTTCCCTTAATTCCCTACTAGTTATTTGGTATACAGATTGAAGATTCTGTTCCTCTGTTCCTAGGCAGTCATTAAGAGTTAAACTTAAATTAATCCCTGATGATGCAATGATTAAAATGCAGTACTGAAGGTTAATTTTGCCAACTGCCGGCAGTTCAAGTCTCACTGGCTCAAGGTTGACTCAGCCTTCTATCTTTCTGAGGTCGGTAAAATGAGGATCCAGATTGTTGCGGGGCAATATGCTGACTCGGTAAACCACTTGGGGCTGTAGAGCACTGTGAAGCGGTATATACGTCTACTGCTATTGCTACTGAATTGAGAGAAACTTTACTTTGAAGATTTATATGCAGGAAAATGATTTAATGGAAATTATTTGGATCTCATTTTAAATGTACTTTTATTTTCTGCCACTAAAAATAGGATTCCCAAAAAATACCCAACGAGAGGATTCTTCTATTTTCTTTCTATGCATTTATTGTTAACATAGTTATATAATTTCCAAATGCAAGAAGACTTTATCTCCAGGAGACAACAATCCAGCAAGATTGCAAAAAATGACGATTGTAAGACTTAGTACTTCTAGTGCATACAAATTCATTTCAGATTCAGTATTATTTTATCATTACTTAAAGGATGCTAGGAGGTTTTCTACTTCCAACTTTCAAATTGTTTGGCATGATTTGGATAAGAAAATATTTCAATCCAATGCTGTTGTTAAGTACCATCTCTTCACTTTTTCTCCTCTGTGAGGGTTTTAAAATATTTCCCCAAACTCATAAGTATCTGCAGTTACCAAAAGATGACTCGTGCAGTGTCATTATGACACAAAGCTCACCCTTAAGTATTTGCATCACAACTTCTTTTTCGGTTGACAGGCTTTGATACAGTATACTGTATGTTTTGTCATCTGCTCCCCTTTCCTTCCGCATGCATATACATGCATGAATTTCATAGAAAAAGAGCCAAATAGGAAAGAACTACATACCATATTTCCCTGAAAATAAGACTGGGTCTTTTTTTTTTTTCCTCTAAAAGAGGCACAAGTCTTATTTTCAGGGGGTGTACTACTCATCTCTGGCACTAACACCCAGCCCAGCCAGTCCACTTCTTCTGGGGCTGAAGGAGCAGCTTCATTCTGCAGCAGCATTCCCGCCTGCATTTTGCAGTCAGGCCTTTCCGGAAGGCCTATGTAGCCGAGTATTGAGCTATGGATTGAATTTAGCTCAGTCCTCGGCTGCTGATATCTTGCAGAACCAAGCTATGGATTGAATCTGTAGCTCGGTTCTGGGCTGGTGAGTGGAGGCCTGGCTGCGAGGTAAGTAGGTGCGCATAGGGCAGATCCACACCCCCATCATGGCTTGATTTTTAAGTTTGTGCCTCACCCCAAAACTAGGGCTTATTTTTGGAGTAGGGATTAAATTATATTAGGCCCATCCCCAAAAATCAAGCTAGGGCTTATTTTTGGGGTAGACCTTACTTTCGGGAAAATAGGGTAATAACTGTGCTTCTGAACACATTTTTACATGGCATATTTGTTTAATTAATTTACTTCCTCATCTTAATATGTAAAGTCATTGTCAGGAATTATTTAAATTTCTCTTACATTATAGCTCTCAGTTAATCTTTTCTATTTCTCCTCTTTTTAGTTCCTTCACCAGGGCAACTTCAACACAGAGTCCACAGTGTGGGACACTTTCCAATATCTGCTAGGCAGCCCCTCAAAGCTATGGCCTATGTGAGTCCAACAGTTCAAGGAAGCAATAGTGGCAGCGGCCTTGCATTGCCCAGCAGCAGCAGTTTGCAGATGCACTCCAGCACAGGCATCCCAGTGCCAAACAAGACTGCAAACACAAGCATTGTAACACGTAGTAGCCTTCCTAGGCCTTCCCTGGCCATAGGTGGAAGCAGTATACCTAGGAGCAAAATTGCACAGCCAATTCGAAGGTAAGAATACCTTTGTTGAAGAAGAAATTGAGCTTGTAACCTTTAAACAATAATTCCCACTCCCTGAAGTTCACTGTCATGAGTGAATTAGAGATGCCTAACTGAGTAAGAATTCTCATAAATCAAGTATCCTTTTAAATTTAACCTTTGGGTAGGATAGGAGTGTGATGTCCACCAAATTATGATGGATTCTAACTTTGAATTCTAATTCTAATCTTAAATTGTACCAATAAGGGAAGCCTACTACAGGTCATTTGAATCAGAGCAAAATATAAACTAAAGATCAGCAGTCCCCACCCTTTCTCTTAATATGAGCCACTGCTTTTTCAGGGAAAGATCTTGAGGACCATTATTTAAACTAGGTGTTAGTAATGTGGCACTTAGAAGCATTGTGGCACATCTTACCTCCCTAATGACATAGCGCTCCAAAATAATTCATTTTCATTAAACTATCTAAAGTATCATGGAATGAATGAATCAAACAACATTTGTTACCTCACCTGAAATCTCACTAGATTTTCAACAAGAAGGCCAAAAGCATGCAATATGTGGCAATTTCTTCATATTTTGGCTTATTTTCATCATTTGTAGGCTTAAATCAGGACTATCTCAATTGACAGCAATATCTAACTAGCCATATCTTGGATTGGATACTAAACAGATTCATGCTTAGCTAATCCTTAGATAGAAAAGCCCAAGAATTCCAGGCTTCTGGATTAGATTGAAAAGTTGGGGAAAGCAGTGGCAAATCACTGATAAAATGTATTAATCAGAGCTGAGCTTGACTTGAAGTAAATTTTAACCAGTAATCATCTCCAGTATTCCCAAGAACTACCAGTAATTGCCATGCCACAGGCCAGTAGGTTTTTACCAGTGCATTATGTATTATGCACCACTACTTTACTGCTCTATGAAATTCAGTCCAGAGAAATAAAAATAATGAGAAGTAGTGTATAAGATGAAGTATTTCATAATGCTTTAGGAAATAATTAATAGGTTGCATGGTGCTCTGCCATCAACCTAGCATTGTTTCATTATCTCGGATGTTGGTGAGTATATTTAGTTTACTATGTTAAGTACTCAGGTAAATTAGGGCTTTGTATTTTCTCCATAAAAGAAAACTTTTGATTATGATATATTCTAAATAGAATGTTGGACATATACTCTGGCCTGCCAGAGTATCACAGCTTTATTTGAGTCCCAGTAGAAATCACATTTTGCTTCTGTGGAAGGACACTTTTGAAATGCTTTTTCTGATGAAGTATATATGTGATTGAGAGACCTGATTGAAAGAGGTAGGGTTTCTCATACCAAAATAAGCTCTCCCACTCCTTTTCTTCAGGTAGTTTTCTGAAATACCCCCCCCCCCAAACTCCATTTTTCAACTCTAATTAACTCCCTGCATGTTAACATACATATATCATCATTTACACTTGACATAAATGGGTACCCATCATTCAGATTGACAGCTCATTGTCTGCAGGCTCATCTCTGGCATAAAGTATTTTAATCTTCTTCTGTCATCTTCAGTTCCACCCAGAGCTTTTTGTACTGATGAGAAGGACCTATCATGGCACTTCCTCTTCATTATGCAAATCTAGGAGCATCCAGGCAATTCTTTTCTTCCACTTGCCTCTGAATTAATCCAGCTCAGGCTTACCCTCCCATACTGGGTTTATTCAAACCAACAAGCCACCTCTAACTTTGATTTGATATCTGGTACTAATACTAGTCTACAGTATATGCATCCCTTTTAGGGAAGTTACCCTATGAGAATCTGATCTTCTCTCAACTTCTTATCAAAGCAAACACAAACAGTTTTGTTTCGGTGTCGGCATGGATATGAGGTTGTTAGTCACATGCTGTGTTGGAGAACTGAGTCATCAGATTTACATGCAAAAGATGCAAAAATCATTCTTGGTATCACCAGTTGGGAAGTAACAAAGTAGGTAATGGGAAACATTGATATCCATGGTAAATAATGGGTTAAATAGTTGACTCAATTGGTTTGTGCTGTTACCCTATTAATTCTGGACTGCCTTTGGTTTTATAGCCAATAACTTCACGTTGGCAATTCTTTTAACTGAGTAGTTGTTTGACATTAGCTATTGTGATGTCTTTCCTTGGAGAAAAGGATTAACAAATCACCTTTGTTAACTCCTGACTTTAATGATTGACTAAACAAGAAGACCTTACATTAGAATGGCAGAGAAGTTGGTTTGGGACATAAAGGAAGGGGCACAAGTAAAGAAACACAAGAGATACTAGAAGTGCTTTCATGACGTATATATGTTTTGACCCTTCAAAGAGGATGGTGAGGAAGTGGAGTCAGAGGCATCTAGTTCTGATACTGGTGATCAGTGTTCAAGTCAAGGACTCCCCTCTGGCTGAGGCATATTCAGTAAGGGGTCGGTACTTAGTTTCTCATATTCTGAAGTTCAGCCAGAAATGCTAAGCAGAGGCGTGTTGATGTAGACCAGCTAAACTCTGCAGATCTGTGACTTGCCAAGAAACAGACCAAGAGAAGAGCAGATTTTCATGTGCCTCAGCTGTTCATTGGGGGTTTAGGACAATTGACCACGCTTGCTTGACTGCTCCTGCTTCACCCCAGGCCCTCTGCTGCAGAGGACCCACTGCGAGTATTCATCTTCAGCTGTCCCTCCACTGGCACTCCTCCCCTGCCACTGGTCCCTCAGTGCCTGGAGTGCTGGCAGAGGGGCAACTGAGGATAAACATCCGTGGTGGGTCAGCTGTGGCAGGAGACCCCAGGGTGAAGCGGATATGGGCAGACAGCCAATTGTGCCCATTCTGCTCCTTTGAATGGCAGTTTAGTATGGCTCATCTATTGGCCCCTGGAATAAAATGCCAAGAACAACTTTTCTGTTGTGTTTTCCCCATCATATTTTGCTTAGAAGTCTGGATTCCACCTCACAGTGTCTCCCCTTGGATTTGTTGATTGATAATTGGATTTCTGGTCTTGCCCCATGTTAAGCCTATTGACTACATTTAAAGTAGCCAGCTTAGGATGGTGGTATCTTCACCAAATCTTTCTTTCAATGATGCTAGAAATGAGAGGGTCATTCTGTGAGATTTCATCTGAGAGTACGTCAGCTGCAACTTGTGGAGAAAATAGCAATATATGTGTACTTATTTCAGTGGTGGGATTCAAATATCTGAACAACCGGTACTCTGTGTGGATGCCGCTTCCGGAAGTCCACTCTGGGTCTGGGCAACAAAAAATTAGCTACTGGTTCTGCCGAAGTGGTGCGAACCGGCTGAATCCCACCACTGGCTTATTTGTTCATGGAACTTTGCCTTATTTTATGCTTACTTTGTTTCTTTTTAAAAACAGTTTTCTCCAGCCACCAAAACCTCTTTCTTCATTTACTACTCTACGGGATGGGAACTGGAGAGATGGCTGTTATTGATGTCAGATCAATCTGAATCCCATTCAAGAAATAGCTCAGATCTCCTACCCAGCTGGCTGGGTAAATATAACTTTGGGGGTGCTATAATGTAGTGCTCTTTGTTATTCTTCTGTACTTATCATTGTCACTAAATATATTGCACTTAATTGTCCGCTTAAGCAAAAAGCAATACAGATAGTTCTAGACTTACGACTTTCAGTTGGGACTGAAATTTTGGTTGCTGAGCAATATAGTCATTAAATGACTCATCATGTAACTGGGCCTCATTTTACCCATTTTTACCATGGTTATTAAGTGAATCACGTAGTCATTAAGGGAGTCATGTTTGTCAAGCAAATCTGGCTTCCCCAATTGACTTAGCTTGTTGGAAGCCAACTGGGAAGATCATAAATTGCAATCATGTGACCACAAGATGATACAACGATTGCACACACAATGTCCCTGGATTACAATCAGTACCAGCTGCCATGTGCCTGAATTGCAATTATGGGACTGAAGGGTTGCTGCAACAGTTGTAGCTTTAAGGACAGGTTCCAAGACCACTGTAACTTGGAACCATTGTTAAATGATCGTAAGTCAAGGACTATCTGTATCATGAAGCATTGCATTATTCTTATTTTAAGTTTCAAAGTACATGCACAAAGTACCTGAAGTGTCCCCCTTGGGGAGTCAAAATGTGACTTCTGAATGTTTAGTCAGAATGAAGTGAGTTTATTTTTTTAAAAAAGTGTTCCTTGCTTTCTTTGCTTTCTTTGCTCTCTTTAAGTAGGCATTTTTTACCTTGTAGATTTACAAATTATTATGTACTTCATTTTTTATAGTCTTTTCAAGAAAGCATATTTTTTGCACTTGATATCTTTTTGTATTTGCTTGAAACAGTGTCAAAATTTTCATGTACATTATATATATATATTCTTTGAATGATCAGTACTTGATCAGAATATGTATTAAGCATATACCCAAATCCAATTAGGTCTATCTGTGCCAACTTTATATAGATCTCTGCTAAGTTGCTCAAATACTTAATGAAAGTTCCAATCAGTCTTCAACAGTAATTTAAATGATACAGTCAATCATGTGGGCATAGGGAAGCAGGAGCAGTGAGGAAGAAGGAACAGAAAGCAGAGATTGGATTTTTATGAAGACTGAATGGATGGGAAATATGATAGTCAATAAAACATTGTGAATGTATGATACAACAGAATGCACTTACCAACCTTTTAATTTAAATTGCCATACCTTTGGGTAGTCATGAGTTTGTTCCCTCACCTCCTTGTTAATTTATCACCACAACGTTCTATTTCTAAGGAAATGTGTAAATTGCATTGCACTTAAAAGTTGCAGTGATCTCTTATATAGTCAGATTTCAATACTTTATTACAAAGAATACACTTGCAGTGTTTTATTAACAATTGTATATGATGGAAATGAATATGTTTTCATGGAAGTATTACATTTTTGATAAAAACTTTCACAAAACATTGAATTGCACTAATAAATGCTTTCTTACTTAAAGAGGGTGATTTGAATACTTGACTACAACTTGCATTCTGCAGTATTGCAGGCTAAGTCATTGCCCACCCCAGCAGTTTGATTCTAACCAGCTCAAGGTTGACTCAGCCATCCATCCTTTCAGTAAAATGAGGATCCAGATTGTTGGGAGGCAATATGCTGACTCTGTAAACTGCTTAGAGAGGGGTGTAAAGCACTGTGAAGCGGTATATGTCTAAGTGCTATTGCTATTCTGCGGATCTGGAAAGTTTCAGAAATAAGGACATCTATTTCAGCAATAGAATATTTTTGGATGTGCAACAGAAATGGAGCGTCTGTGTTTGCTCTGCTCCATTTTTATTTAACAAGTATACAGTCTTATTGAGGTGAGTATCCCTTAGCCACAAAGTAAATTAAAGATATCTAGCAGCCTGACTCTTGATTAGGAATTTTCCTGCCAGGAAAATGGCAGGAACTTATCAGGGCAGTTTCTGAAAATTGGACACAATTGAACAAAAGAAAATAAACAAACAAACAAATAAAGTACCTGATGTATCTGTACAAGTCATGCAGTTCCTCCAAATTCCACCCCAGCAGAGTAATTGCACAGCAGAAAGTGTGACATATCATCTTGAGTGAGCTACAGTAAATGAAGTCCCAACTTTATTTTGTTCTCTACAGTCTTTCTCAATTTGAATTTAATGAAGTCAAATGTTGAAAAACAAATGTGAGGAGGTGCAACTGTGTTCTGCCCTAATTTGGACGTTCTTGTCCATATGAATAAACAGCTAGACCAAAGAAAATCACAATGCTACATCAGACTGCGTACTACAGTATTTATCATGGCCTTAGCAAGTGGGAAAGAAAACATTTGCTCCAATGATCCCTGATCTCTCCTGGAGAAAACTTATCAATATTCACAGCAGAGTCAACATACGGACTGTTGAACAGTATACACCAAACCTGGAATCTACAGATTCTGCTATTAATAAGTTTTAAACTATAATAGTTGCTTTACAAATTTGTGATGGATTACATAACAAGTGAAATTCATAAGTTCAGTATGATATAAAAAGCACTCAGACAACATGAACCTCAGTATGTACATACATACATACATACATACATACATACATACATACATACATTAATATATGAATATATTTGTATATTTGAGAATAGTGAAGTCTTGCCCTCAAACAGCAAAAACCTAATGCACAGGAATAAAATAGGCGGTACCTGGCTCAACCCTGTAACTGTGAGAGGTATCTAGAGCAGTGGTTCTCAACTTGTGGGTCGGGACCCCATTTGGGGTCGAATGACCATTTCACAGGGGTCACTGTATTATGAACTGTATTATGGGGTCACGGCATTAGAAAGGTTGAGAATCACTGATCTAGAGGTATCTATAATAAGTGGACTGTCACTTAACCGTGAGCGAGAAAAAAAAAACTAATGTACTCCCAAGTTGCATCAACAGAGGGATGGCATCAAGATCACGTGAAGTGAAAGTACCACTTTATACTGCACTGGCGAGATTACACTTGGAATACTATGTCCAGTGCTGGTCACCACGATACAGAAAAGATGTTGAGACAATAGAAAGAGCAACAAAGATGATCAGGGGTCTGGAAGCAAAACTGTATGATGAACAATTGAGGGAACTAGATATATTTAGCCTAATGAAGAGAAGGACTAGGGGTGATATGATAGCAGTCTTCCAGTACTTTAGGGGTTATCAGAGAGAAGAAGCTAGTCTCCAAAACACCTGAGGGCAGAAGTCATGGATGAAAGATCATTAAAGAGAGATCCAGCCTAGAATTAAGGAGAAATTTCCCGACAGAACAATTAAACAGTGGAACAGCTTATCTTCAGAAGTTGTAGGTGTTCCATCACTGGAGAGATTCAAGTAGACACTGGGCAGCCATTTGTTCACAATAGGGTCTCCTGCTTGGGCACGGGGTTTGGACTGGAAAATTTCCAAGGTCTCTTCTTGCCTATTATTCTGTGTTATATGTTCTAAATATCATTGTGTTTGGCTGCAAAGACAACTGGAAGTGCCATCGGACTCCTTAACTTCTCTCCTTAATTTGTGGCTAATATTTCAAGTGTGGTTCATTGATGTTGCTGTTCCAGGTGATGCACGGATTCAAGGAAAAACAATTGGGAAAAAAATGACAAAATATCATAAAAATTATGAAAAATTAGGACTTGCAGGTTGAAGTTGAATGCTTATGGAAAAAGAAATCAATTCTTACACAAACCGTGATTGGAGACCTCAAAGCAATGCCTAAAGAACTTCCTCAACATCGGGAGCTTCCGGTACGAGGCGACGGCGATGGCGGCTATCTTTTAGCCGTCCAGCTGGGGAAGTGTCAGAGCCGCGGAGCACAGCGCGCATCAGCTGGCCCGCGGCTCGGAATTCCCTTCCCGGGCAAAGGGAAGGGACAGAGAACGCAGGAATAGAGGTAGAACCCCTAAACCCCCTCTGGATTTATTTCTAGAGGGGGTGAAAGGAGTGTTCCCTCGGAGCTCCTGCTGATCTCCGCCTCCCAGCTGTTTTTGCTTCCTAGGAAGCAAAAGAAACCGCCGCTTCTATCTCCGTGTTTATAGTATTTTGGTGAGTAATTTTTAAACGGACGGAGCAGTTTAAAGGATTTTTGTTATATACTTTAGGTGTTTATTTTTTTTATTATTTGATTTTTACTATTTTTCCTCCTTTTCTTTGTTATATTAGTGAAAGGATTTAAGATGGCGTTTTGAAAGTGTCGGAGTTTTTTTTTCCTTTCCCTTTTGTTTTACTTTCCCTTTTTAAGGACTGGCTTTTGCTTTTGCTTTTGGCTTAGAATTTTTTCTTTTGAATTGTTTGCTCTTTTATCTTTTATTCTTTGGATTTTCTCTGGATTTTCAAGGACTATAGTTTGTCTCTTTTTAAATTCTTTTTCTTTTTCTTTCCTCCTCCCTTCTTGTGTGGAGGGGAAAGGGAAGTGAGAACTGCGCTTTTTAAAATGGCTTCAAAGAGACAGCAGCCTGCTTCAATACCTAAGGTTGTTTCTTCTCCTATAACTTCCACTGCACAATTACAACAACAATCTAAACATGTACCACCGGCTCAGCCACCACCCTCCCCCCCTCTGCCTAGACTTTCAGCACAAGAGGTCAGAGGCATAATGGGAGAGATTGTAGTTCAAATGAGAGAGGAAATGAAGCAATTTGCCTCACAGATTAAATCAGAAATTAAATCTGATCTTAAAGAAGAGATAATGGGGATAAAGACTAAATTGCAAGAAAATAATAATGATTTACGACAAGATATACTTGCAGCAGTTTCAGGCTTGGCTACTGTGGTGGTTAAGCTCGATACAAGGCTTGAGGAAGTGGAAAACAAAGTTGATTCCTTTGATGATAAAATTCAAGATGTGGAAAGGAAGGTGGAGTCCTCACAAGAAGATATTTTGATGTTTCAGTACAGACAGATGGAGTATGCCCTGAGGATTAGAGGCCTCAAGGAAGATATGAATCAAGATTTGGTGGAGGTGGTCCTTACTGATCTGGCAGTGGCCTTGGATATGGATAAAGGAGAATTACATAGAGAAGTGGAAAAAATTTATAGACTTAACTCCTGGATTGCTAAGCAGAAGAATTTGCCTAGAGATGTGGTGATTTATTTTACAAAGAAGTCCCTGCGGAATGAGATTATACAAGCCTTTTACAACAAAAGATTTCAGATTGCTGCCCAAGATGTTATCATTCTAAAGGAAATCCCATCCAAAATTTTAAGAAGCAGGAAAGATTTCGCTTTTTTAACCAATGAGCTCAAAGCTAGATTGATGCCATTTAGATGGGAAATTCCGATGGGTATTGTTTTGAGCCATGCGGGGACACGCTACAGATTGAATACAGTTGACAAAGCTAGAGAGTTTTATACTTCGGTCCTGGGTGCAGGCTCAACTCCATCTGGTCAGAAATCTCCGAGTGGCAAGGAAGTCGAGCAGCAATCTGAGGCATTAGGTTTGGTTTCCGCTGGGATGATACAAACTGAAAGGCAACGCCAGATGGAGGTTAAAGAGCAGAGGATGACTCGTGCAGCTTATAAGCGTAAAGAGAAGGAGCAACGTAAAAAAGAGCCCAAAGAGAATTCTTCTGGAAGTGCATCACCGCCGGTGGGAGGAGCAAGACCCAAGAGTTATGCAACACATGCAGTTCTTTCAGATTTTGATGGTGTCTTCTCCAGGCTGCGTGCCAAGGGAGATGGCAAAGTTTTTGACCTGGAATGTTAATGGATTGAATTCTCCTCAGAAACGGAAAAAAATCTTTTATTATTTGAAGCAACATACCAATGATGTTATTTGCTTACAGGAAACTCATATTTTACTTAAAGATCAGAAATATTTAGTCAATGCTCGTTTGGGATCTCATTTTATATCTTCTGCTCCTGGGAAGAAAGGGGGAGTTGTTATATATGTTAAACAAAACCTACCAGCTTGTCTGGTAGAATCAGATCCCCAGGGGAGATATGTGATGATTGAACTTGGTATATATGGTAAGAAAGTACTTATAGTGGGACTTTATGCTCCAAATCAACAACAGGAACAATTTTATAAGCAGTTACATCAAAAAATAACATTGCTTGATTATAGATCAGTGGTATTAATGGGTGATTGGAATGGTGTCTTAGATATACAAAGGGACAAGAAAGGTTCCTCTCCTTTTCTTAAACAAGCAAGGTTACCTAAAGCTTTTTTTGATATGAAGGAAGACTGGGAATTAAGGGATTATTGGCGGGAATGTAATCAAGAGGAGAGAGATTTCACTTTTTTTTCTGATAGACACCAATCTTTTTCAAGAATTGACTTTTTTTTGATTACTACGGATTTGTATAATAAAGTAAAGAATGTAAAGATTTTTCCTAGATCACTGACGGATCATAGCCCAGTTTGGATGGAGCTGACTCAAGAGAAAGAGGAAAGGAGATCCTGGAGAGTTAATGAAAATTTGTTCAGACAAGAGAAGAATGTTCAAAAGTTAAAGGAGTGTTTAAAGGACTATTTTGCTTTGAACATGTATAAGGGGACTTCAATGTCAATGGTATGGGATGCAGGTAAAGCATTTATGCGTGGTGTTTTGATAAAAATGAATAATTGTCATAAGCGGAAGCAGATGCAGAAACGTAGAGAACTTGAAGATGAAATTAAATCAAAAGAAAGGGCCTTGATTCTAAATCCTTCTGATGAAAGTATTAAAGAATCTGTAAAGTTACTAAGGTCACAATTTAATATGTTGATAGCAGATCAAGCGGCAACCAATTTATTGTTTATGAAACAAAATACATTTTGTAATGCTAATAAGCCTGGGAGATGGTTGGCTTATCAATTAAGAAAGAAACAGAGACAGAGAATAATAGAGAAAATAAATTACAAGGGTAAATTAGTTTCTCAGAAGGAATTGATTAAAAAATCTTTTTTGGATTATTATCAAAAGTTATACAAATCTACTAATGTGCAACTGCTAGATATAAATAAATATCTAGCTGAGGCAAGTTTTCCTAAACTGACTGAGGATCAGAAACATGAAATTAATGGCTTAATTACTAAGGAGGAAATTGCCTCAGCAATTCAACAATTGAAACTAGGGAAAGCACCGGGTACGGATGGGTTAACAGCTGTTTATTATAAAGCTTTAATGGAGGAGATGATCCAACCATTAAATGATCTTTTTAATGGTATCTTACAGGGTTTAGAGATTCCTCCTTCATGGCGTAGTGCTTTTATATCATTGATTCCAAAGGAGGATCAAGATCTTACTTTACCAAAAAATTATAGGCCTATATCTCTTTTAAATGTGGATTATAAGATATTTGTAAAAATCTTGGTAAATAGGCTTATGAGGGTGGCGCATCATCTTGTGCATAAAGATCAATCAGGGTTTATAACAGGAAGGTATATGAAAAATAATGTTAGACAAATTATTAATCTATTAGAATATTTAGACAAGAACAACCAAGTTCCTGCAGGGCTCATATTTTTAGATGCTGAAAAAGCATTTGATCAATTGAATTGGCATTTTATGCTAAGAGTAATGGAAGAAATGAATTTTGGCGAAAAGATATTACAAGCTCTTACGGTAATATATCAAAAACAA